CATGGAAAAGTTAACCGGTTTTTCTAGTTACTTGTATATAAGAGTGAATCGGTTCTCTGTTCATTTGTGACGCTGAAGAAGAGTGATGGATGTCACTCGAAACGTCCGGAAATAAATCCGTTAACTGATCCAGTAGTAGAGTTTGAATTTTCTTACGAGTATCGTTTACCTGGATGTCTAACCTTCATCAACGTATAATGAAAAGAACTTTTTTTTTGCAAAACTTTTTTTTTATTCGCACGCGCGCATCAGTTTTGGGGCTCCCGGAGGATGTCATCCATATAATCAAATCAACATGGCCTAATGCTGGATTACTATATATTGGTCAACTTTAAAATGACATGCATTACATATGATTTCTTGACAAAACATCCTGTTGACAAACTTTTACACAAGACATAAATATCCATATCTATGCAGGTATTGACTTAAGTTTATCAACTGAATTATGATATATATGACTATTTTTAACTTGCTGACACTTAATATATTTGTATCCTCTTTTGATACAAAATCCACTATGGACTGTCACAAGAACATGGCAACAGAAAATAAAACATAGCAATTCACAAGATAGATTGACAAGAAATATCAAATTCTGGCCCATCCAACCTTCCATAATGGAATACCCCTTTCTTTATTTCACCTTTACCTGTCTGTGTAACCTACATGTATGAGGTCAGTCTGGCAAAATAGTTAGATGGAGATATCCCAGTGGCACAATTTCTTTTTCTTCGATCCCAAATCTGGCTTTCAGTCAACCCAAATAACAGGAATGGTCTTGATTATGATAATGAAATTCCATCATTAATATTTCGCTCTGACATATTGACATATTCCTATCACTTGTTCCAGGAATTATTCTGCAAAATCTCCTAGGAGTGTGGAAGAGAGTCAAAATGCAGCAGGGGAGATGCACTATGTCTGAATAGAAAGATGTAGGGTGAATGGTGAATGGTCTTCCATACAAACAGAATAAAGTAAATCAGATCGTATTAATCAAATACACCAGAGCTCTACCTAGGGACCGGGGTGGGGGGACAATATGGTAAAATGACATGGAAATTGTCAGATGTCATTTGACTCATTAGTCTAGCAAATCTAATTCATCTTGGCATCACTAATTTAATACCAAGTAATCCTATATGCAGGTGAAATTACCGTGGAATTGAAAATAATTTTTTTTTTACCCAAACTCCTATATGACCATTTACAAAAAAAAAAAAAAAATCATCTTTCTAAAAGCTGTTACAGTAATAAATTTACCTACATACAAAAAGAAATATACCCCTATAAAAATGGTACAACCCAGCCATATATCTTGAGAGGTTCTATCAGTTCAACCCTGGAATAATGCGTGTCATTTAGAAGCGACTCACGTATTACAGGTGCCACCAAAGGGATACAATTTACCCAGAATGGATCAGATTTTACGCATTGGCAATGCTTCACCTGTGATTTGGGCTTGGGGCTCCCAACCTCAATAAAGGGGCTTTCAATATTTAGCGAGGGGACATGGTTCAGCCGATCGCCTCGCAAGGCAGTCGGCATTGATTTTCCTCAGAAACGCGAGAGAAATGCATGGAATTCTGTCGATAAATGGCCATAATGTGCCGAGAGGATTGAACAAATGTTCTGAGTGGGATATTAGGCAACATCGTGCCAGCCAAATGTCAAGTCTTTTAAGCCAGGAATGAATGTAATAAACTATTCGAGTCAAGACAGATTCATAAAGCACTGCCCTCTGTAGCACTGCACATTCTGATTGGGAAGGATTGATTTAAATAGGATGAAGCTCTCGATAACTTTATCATATTGATAAATGTGCAATGATTTTCTGTCATCAATGGTTACATCTTTTATTGTACAGTATTAAAGAGAGGGCATGGCAGAGAGAGGAGTCACTTGATAATACTTAAGGATGGATTAGTTTAAGTCTGCCAGCCACAGTCAGGGCTGATCAGAAGTACCAGTAGACTTCATAATCACCCATGACACTGTAGGAGGAATATTGGGGGTACAGAGAGGAGATTATTTGTAAGGGGCCCTGCATGCTCTTTTTTTTGTAAGGAGTAATCATATACATGTATGTACCTTTTAATTCTGTGTAATTCACAGGCAGCATCTCAAATTCAATGTAAATTTGTAATCAGTTACGTTTGTCGTAACACGTACAATGTAATTTACATGATACATAGTTGGCACCTGGAATTTTACTATAAAACATACATGTGTAAGTAATAAGTTATTCGTCAAGTGTAGTCAAACTTGCCTGCTATTGCCCAAAGTCACAGACGTGTGTCTGGCTGTGTGTGAATGGAGGAGGCCTACAAACAACAGTTTCAGTTTTCACAATTTTCAACTTCATTTCACCACAACATCACTTCTGGTTTGTCCACTTACCGGTATGAAAAAACTAGGGTGAACTGTTTTACATGATATCAGGGTAGACAACCCTGCCTGCACCCTCCATAGCCCGTGCCTCACCTCTGATACAGTGCAGGACCCAAGCAATTTCACATAATGTATATACATTGGCCCAATGGCCCTGTTTCCAAACTCTTAATATTCCACGGTGTAGTACAATTTACGAGGGGTCACGTTATGGTGTGACCCTCGCCTACCCTACCATGCCAGCACCATCCTGACAAATTACTCGCACAACGTTATCCCTCGCTACTGTTAGAGCCTGCATATAGCTTTAATGAAGGAGGTGCTGTGTCCCTATAACACAAACTCTTGCTGTTTGGCCCCATAATCCCATTGAGTGTGTGAACATACATGTACATGTAGACTTCTAACTGAAGGGAACAAGCTTAAAAAAATGAACCACCAAAAAGAGGCCAGTATGGCAGTCAATGAGGAAGCTCACGTGAAACAGAAAAAGAGAACAGTTTTGATTGTGACCACGGTATAACAAAGCATGGCAACCATATGCTCAATTTTTTGATAATCAAATGTAATTGGATTATGTTGCCGTACATTGTATTTGGATTTGGCCTGTTTCACCTGGCTTACACTAGTTACAGGTATTTGTCAGCCATTGCCTATAGGACCTATCATTCAGAAGGCACTGCTAGTGATGCAATAAAATCAGGCTACTGTGGATAGTGTCAGGTACTTTCTGTAGCTTGAAGTCTAGATCTGGACAGTAAGGGAGCGGGCTTCTTGTCATCCAATATACTAAATGCATTATTCATTTGACACTAAAACTAGAGGTCACAGAGCTCCAGTGAACGGTAAATTACCCAGGAGGTAGAAACACATAGCGTCAACTTTACATGAATTTTATGACAGCATAAAGAAGATGATTGCAAAGCTTCAGGACATTACATTGAAATTAAAACAGGTTCTAAAGAGAAGATGATTCGTAATATGTGTTTTTTACAACTAGAAATTTAAGCTTGAGGATGAAAGGTAATGAAATAAGGAATTAATGTTTCATACAAGTCCCATTTCATGGCATGTTACACTGATTAACAAAGTACATAATCACTGTACAGAAAAAAAAATGTATTGAAAATCACATTTACAAATTGTATGAAGCACAAAATAAGCCATACAGAGGTAGATTATGGATGTGTGCATGCAATTTCTGCAGCAGCATGTAAGAAATTAAACGTGTTCCCTTTCCCCATATTGAGCGTTGCTGACAAAATGGACGGCATTATGGGCAGGGGTAATAACGTGCCTCCTGGCAGCACTCAATTCCACCGATGGACGTCAGGGGAGTGGAGGCTACCCTGGGGGGAGGGAACTGTCCCAGATAACAAAATTCTCTTCCCTACATTTCCTCTTTGTGAACTATCCTATGTCTGTTTAGTATATACACCTTTACCTCAAAGGGATCCACTGCAGTTACAAGCTAATGTCTCCAGGTGGCTTCACTGTTCAATTCATGAAGCACACCAAGGAATATTACACTATCAGTATATACATGTATTATAATGAGATGCTGCTAATGTCATCTGATGACAATAATAACCAGTAAGCTTTTATGGCTTTATTATGGACTATGGTAGTGGTTCATAACACATATTTTCCATAGCAGTCTGAATTGAAGTGAGTAATGTCCCCCCTTAGGGTGATGATATATGGGTAGTAAATCTTATCTATTCAGGCATATAATATTTTCAATGCATGTTTAAGTTGGCATAAAACATTTGATATGTTGAGTATAATACATGTACTAATAGACTAATGTCTTAGTTATATGAAATGCTTGTAGATGTTAAGTTGACATATGATTCTATCAATCGATAGCATCTGATATAGTTTTGTCTATGCCAATTTGTAAATATAGCCAACTGGGCCACAGTTACATTGTATCTGTCACCCGAAACCCTTTGCAGGAAAGCTTTTTCTTTCTTCATTGCCTTAGCTCATGTAGCTATATCATAGATTTTCCATTATGTCAAATTACTAGTGCTTAAAGCCATATAACAAAAAAAAGTGTCCATTGCAGGCATTTTGGCTGAAAATTTTCTTACTTTTCTACTCAAAGGTTTAGATGCGCATGCAGAGCAATGAAGTATAAAACAAGGAATTTCGCGTGGATTTCTTGTACAGCCTGACCATGAATATCTCATCAGTGACCCCTAAACCCCTTTGATACCCTCGCAGATTGCGAGCAGTAAAAGAGGCCAGGTTGCAGAGCCCATGAAATTGATTTCCTGTCAATCACCCTAAGCTGGTAATGGACAATTCTGAACTCCCAAGCCCCCTGAAAGTGGCACGTATATTACAGGCACTGCTCAGATAAAATTTCCAATATGGATGGAGCATTCCATTGTAATGGGTAGGGACATTGACTGGACATAAATGTTTGTATTCTGTAGTCAAATGAGTAATATATACACAACAATACCTTTTGATGAAAAGTTGTAATATAAAACGTGTATAAAAATGAAAACAACAGTGTGTTCACATTTCCCACTCTCTATTGAATCTTAAGCATGAAGGAAAAACACAATCTTCCCTTTAGCCAATCTGCATATATTCTATGCAAACTGTAAATTGAATAAGACATTTACATAATGTTGTCATTTCAGGCCCTTTCCTAATGTGATTGGATGTGTCTTAATCATGCATTCTAAGTCCATGCATCTGTTAACTCGTGTCAACACATTAAGTCTCTAGGAATGATGATATCAAAATAGAAATACATGTATACATTAAATATAATGTTTGAAATGAAATAGGCATAAATCAGTCAGATGGTTTGTAGTCATAAAGACAAGAAATAAACAGTCAAACTAATCAGTAAAATGAGTCAAATCAGTATGACAATTCAACAACATTAGTATGATGATTATACAATGTACTTATCAATTTTGAAATGCAGTATTGAAATGGGACACCCAAGATCTACTGCAGTACTTGTGCTAGTTGATAGGTGTCACCCATGCATACATGTAAAATTTGCTTCAGATTGTTACAACTCTTTTGCATCAAATAAGGATGTTCAAGCCCCAAGAAAGCCCCTCCCAAAAAACTGGATCATCCACATTTCAGTCTTTGTTTTCATCAGGACTTACCTCTGGACTGTTGTAGAGCAGTCCTGTCTCCTTGTGTGTGATGATAGCAGCATTGCTGGCAATGTTCCTGGCTATCACAGGCACTCCCAAACACATAGCCTAGTCATTGGGACATACACATGTAAGAAGATTCAAAACTATCTAAAACTTCTGCACAACTTAAGTCTGATGATGTTCGTCCATCACTGTCTATGACAACCCTGACTTCAGTTGCCCTTGTGTGTTTGGGTGTGGCTAATGAGTCAAGTTTTTATGTCCAGTAATTTAAATGGACCATTCCAACTCAAAGTCTACAAATACAAATACAGTGTTGATTACAGGACAGAGTGCGACAACCAATGAAAGTTTGAAAATATTATCAGAAAGAATGGTTGGAGTGTGTTTCACCTCCAAGATGGCTGTTGACATCCCCTCGCTGACTGAGGAGTTGACCACAGCACAGGAGTGCAGCATGAGTGTGTGGAGGTCAGTCTGGGGGAGGGGGGGCAGCAGGAGGATGCCTGGACATCTGGGAGTGCGGCACAGATATAATACATTACATTACATCGCATACACATCGTAGAAATGTCATTCATTTTTTTGCCTATCCCAAATATATACTGCAACAACTATGAAGGTCACAATTTAAAAATGCTGTATTCATTTGGTACCTGCAGATTTCACCTTTTACTTTTCTTGCATAGTCCTCATTCATCTGAAACAAACAAAAATTAAAATTGTTTTGCATTTGAAGGGGATGTTAAACTTTTGGCTCAATGCGTCGATGAAGGTTATACATCCAGGTAATATGATACGCCAAAAAGCAGTTACTCAAGCAACTGCATATGATTTTGGAAAATCCAAATCATATCCAGTTGCTTGAGTAACTGCTTTTTGGCATGTTGGTTTTATGTTTAAGGAGAGCCATACCACAAAAATGTTAAAGAATTCACCACACGTATCAATAGAAGAGGTGATTCACTTCATGTATTCCCAGCCAGGATGCAATCCAACAATCCAACCTATTTCTTAGTGCAGCTTGTATTCAAAATCAAATCAAGCTAGCCATGATAGATACAATTTTATTCATTGTAAAAGGATGTTTCTTACCTCTGGTCCCACAATAATAAGAAGAACCCTGCTGTCATTTCTATGCCATTCTGCAATACCAAAGAAATCAATCTTAGATTTGCTTTAGTAAATGTGGGCAATTGTATACATGTAGGTTAAGAGCACTTGCAATATCTACACTACATTTTAAGTGCAGAGAAATGTATTGCTGTCTTACCAGAAAATGCCTGCAGCAGGTATAGTGGGTCCTTCACTGGTCTAAGTCCACATACAAGGAGGAAAACTTTTGTGGAGTCATCCAAATTATCTGTACAACCACCTGGTAATTAACAAAAGAACCCTTTATCAACAGAAGATGTGACTAAAGCAAAATCATGTACAACCATGATATGTTTAACTGACTCAAAATCTACATACACGTGTCACACATGCAAAATTGTACACAATGTAGTTACAATGCAGCACTCTTTTTGCTTACTCAGAGTCACTGTTATGAAATGGCGCTTTTATGCACAGCTGTAATAGCAAAATTACAGTGACAGCTTGCAGGTGCAGCTGACCAGAATATACCCCTGGCCAGAATATTCCTACATGTACTCTAGATCTAGCCAGCTTGGGGTATGTTCCAGACTGCTACACCTGTATTGACCTATAGTGACTTACATGCACATGAACCAAACTCAGCAGTTCTGTAAGCAGTTAAGATGTCACTGCGGTGAGATGGCGTAGAAGCATATGTACAAACACCTGCAACAAAAACATACAAGCAAAATACATGTGCTACTAAGAACAAAGAAAGGCCTTTTTTCCCTTCCAAGTATGAGTATAGATCAGATTATGGGCACTAGATATTCAGCAGCAATGTAAAAGAAGCACACTCAACTTTCAATAGATTGAAGTTAAACAAATATCGGGTACCTTGTGGCTGTATGTGGATCTTGTCAAGAACATGGGGCTGAAATGTAAGTAGGTTCTTATTCATTTACAGTTCTTAAAATTCATTATAATAATCTCGTGACTGTCTTATGATACATACATGGTTTGTATGAGGAGTGAAAAATATGCATCCTGAAATTTAAACAACAAGGTTTCAACATAATCTGGTAACCTTATGAATGTTGTACTCACCCAGAGTCTTAAGGCTTGTTGTTTAAGCTCTTTTGAGAAACACACCAGAAATCTGAAGGTCAAAATACAGGGTATTAAGAACAATAAGGATGACAGAACCGTCATCATTTTTGTCTGGGATGGGTGGGATTAGGGTGAAGCATACATTGTAGTCCCGGTGCAGACCTTTCATAGCTAGGGTCGACTGAATGGTCCCCAAGCATGTGTTTTCTTACACTATAATTGTTGGCAGCAATCTTGGGACATTTTTAAGAGAAAAAAAGTGAAAAGGTCCACCAGACAGTGATGTTCTCACCTGGCTTGGTTGACAGTAGCTGTCATGAGGTCCATACTGTCTGGAATTGCTGGACTTTCATTCAGATCTGTCCCTCCAAATACCAGTCCAAATGGTACTGGGCAGTCTGCAATCATATATCAAAGATATTGCCATCTGGTTACACTCTAAAATACCAAAAACAAGATTATTGGGCAAGACAAGTTTTGATATACAGTACAAAATGCATATTTTACAAATCCCTGGTATACACCATTTTTACAGTAACTTGTATTAAATTCTGCCGTTTCAACGAGTGCACATTTAACATTACCAACATGATAATATTACTCTTGGTGTGGCTGAAGTATACTATAGTCATCATATTTGCATATCCCTGCTCACCCCTGAGAAGAAGTCCTGTCCTGCAGGCGTTGATTCCCATAATGCACCTGATGCCATTGTCGGTGATGAATTCCCAGAATTCTTTGCAGCCATCAAAGTCGCTGGTACACTTCCTGATACACCTGTGCCCACCGCTTTCTAAAGACGTCCTGAAAAAAAAAACAAAAAAACTTGGTTTCAACTTTTAAGAGGAGACAAAATTTTCTTGGCCTCCTGATAACTCTTGCTGATAATTGGACGTAGGGTTTTTCTTTTTCAGCACTGTACCAGTACCCTCAAACTATTCCTTCAATTTTGCTTTCTTTACCCAATTTTCTAATGCACCACTAACCTTCCTACATGTATGCATTGGGGTGAAAACATTTTGAATTCAGACTTATTTTATAAAAGTTATAATTTGTCTAACCAAAATGAAACGTTACCTTTTGCGATAAACTGAAAGACCCGAACCTTACCTGATTCTCTCTGCAGTTATTAAGTTCCCTGAACACGGGAAGCAGTAGGCCAGCAGGAGGGTTGTCATGACTTGTTCTTTCTCACATCCTAGCTTTGTTTTCTCTTTCCACCTGATGTAACCATATTAGGAGAGATGAAACATATGTTTCATAACTTATTTATCTGTTCATAAGCTCCTAAACCTTCTCTAACGCTACGTCATGTTGAAAAAGGTCACTATTGTTTCATTAATATCAGAGATAACTTGTTGTTTCTTCTCGTTTGTGTGGCACGTATGCAGATTCAGTTATATCAAGCTAGATTGTCACATATGCATGTAGTTCAAACTGTTGAAGGCGGCTGCCTCAAACGAAAGAAGAAGAAGTAGTTAGCTCCACAAATACGTCTCCAAGCATGCCCAAAAAGTTACGACGGGCTTAAAAGCGTCTATAGACTTCAATATCGTCCTTTGGAGACCAACTACTCCGTGCAGATTGGAAATTAGAACTCACAAGAAAGTTTTTGGTCTAAATCCGCCATGTTGTCACTTGCGCACTTTGACCTACGGTGGACGAGTTCACTTCTCTTGGAGGGGTGTAATTTGTTGGGAATAATTTTTAACCACATCTTGTGGGAGTGTTTTATGTGGCGAAGTAACGTTACGTATTATCATTTCTAAGGCCACACCAATTTAATTTCTTGGTTAACGGATTTTTCTAGAAAAATAATGGAGCGGGCGGGCGAAAAAAAAATAAAAATAAAAACAGGCCCAGGCATCCTATTATGGCCCAAAATGGTACAATAGGAGCCATGAAGTCAACACACCAGGCTGGTTCAAAATTTAAACAATGAATTTTCAACTTTTAATGAAACCATTGCATTGAAAGATGGCAAAAAGGCCTTTTCATCCTAGCCGTTACAGTTATTCCAACTGTTCAGGGCAAAATATGAGCATTTTGCAGTTGATTCTGGATTTTTATTTTTATTTGCAAATCAGAAAAAAATGAAGCGGCGAATCCGTTAACCAAGAAATTAAATTGGTGTGGCCTAAGATAAAGATTTTAAGATAAGATATCAAACATAACCTTCATCTCTTGCCTACCATAAATTACCCTCTGCGTCAATGGCCAGTTCCTTTCCCTGTCCTTGGTGCTGAAAGCAGCTTTCACCAAGAAATATCTGCAGCAAGAGTGTTTCTTTTGTTCATAGTAGGGCTGTTAACGTTTTCCTTGTAAGAATTATCCTCCACGAATTTAATGCCTTGTAAATATCATGTTTGTATGTAAAAACATCAATGGTACCAGTGTGTCTTCTTTGTCCTTGTCATGAAACATAACACAAGCCTAAATCGTTTTTACTTTTTTTACCTCCAAACAAGACACTGCTTCACAAAATAGTTGTCCTACAGATTTCAGATCCTTTCCCCTCATTGCAAGTGTTCAATACTGCACTTGTAAATGTACAATATAGCATGAACTTGTACCACTCCATAAATATATCCTTTCCCCTCTATTTTTGCCCCTTCCAAAAAAGATTATGCAGTTGATAAGGAAACACAACACACACCACCACTTGAGAGTAGAACATGCTTTATTTGCATTTCCACATAACAAAATATAAGTTTATTACCTCTTCCAAGCATGGAGACATGGTGAACATATCCATGTATACCGTTTACCACAGTAAATATGGCAGTTTGTGAGCTTTAATTAAGTCTATCACCTAAACTTCATGTTAGGTCTACATACATGTAACATTTACATTTAGGAAACCATGAAACGTGTAACATGATCTTGACTGGTGCTACAAAAGTTTTCTAGAGAAAATCTACAGAAATCTTTCTCTTGGTCAGTAGTGGTTACAAAATATATGAAAATAGAAAGTTCGATCTGTTAATATACATATATAACGTTACCTTTTTTTTACTAGCTCTAGGCCACACCAATTTAATTTGTTGGTTCTCGGATTTTTTCAGAAAAAATATGAAGCGACAGGGCGAAAAAAATAAAAAATAAAAACAGGTCTATGCATCCTATTATAGGCTTAAATGCTACAAAATGAGCCATGAAGTCAACACAAAAGGCTGGGTTAAAATTTAAACATTGAATTTTGAACTTTTAATCAAAACACTGCAATGATAGATGGGAAAACTGTAACAACTAGAAAGAAAAGGACTTTCCTCAACTGTTGGGGGGCAAAACATGAGCATTTTTCAGTTGATTCAGGACCAGAATCAATTTTTTTTTTTTTTTGCAAATCAGAAAAAAACGAAGAGGTGAATCCGAGAACCAACAAATTAATTTGGTGTGGCCCTATGTGCTAACATCTACACTATGGGCACAATAACAGAGTACAAAAGAGCAGTCCAGAACACGACAGAGTGAAGGTGAGCCAGGCTTGGTGAGCTGATCATCAGGGAGAAGCCAGGGGGAACCTTTCTGCCGCTCCCGTCATTGGCGCATTGGCACCAGACGTGGGTCACAGTCAGTCTGTCATGAAGTGCCTAATGTGGGAGAACCATAAAAAATTCATACAAACCATGCTTGATTAGTTACATGCTGGTTTCATAGCCTATCTAGATACAATAATGAAGAGATACAAGCCCTCCACATGTTAGCGTTACATGTAACAGTTAACGTTACATGCTTTGTTACAACACATTACAGTTTTTACAAAATACTGAGACTGAATTCTTTTTGTAAGAAATAAATATCTGTGCCGTACCTGACTTTTGTAGCATTTAGAGATCTTTGTTAATGGCCTCCACCACCACACTAGGCTCAGGGAACTTCAGCTTACGAGGTGGACCCTTCTTTATCCCTGTCCACACCAACATTTCTGCAAATAACAAACATCAAATCATCAATATGTCTATAAGGTAAACATTCAAAGCAATTGTGCAACTAAAAGAAGAAAAAAATGATAGCTTGTATCTCAACAGCTCTGATCGTTACCAAAAACTGCAGTATTTGTAATGGGAAATGCTGCATAATTAGGACAAAGATGGCCTCATCTGCCTCATAATAGTCATATATTTCCATCTTTTGTCCCAACCGGCTGCATTTGGATCACTATGGATCGTCCCATGATCAGAATAAACTTTCTTTTCACAGATACTAGTACTCACCCTTCCCATCATCCTTTACAACGGTGCACTCAAAGCTGTTCCTGCGCCCGACAGCGGTCTCCACGGTGACGTCAGGAAACTCCGCCCGCAATGCCTCGGCCAGCTGGTCAGCATTGCGCTTGTACACGCGTCAGCTCTTGCTGTGAGGGCAGAATGCTTCTAATGTTAATATGATTACATTTTTTCATATCTACAGTCATCTTAATTTATATTACGTTATACATGTACAGTAACTTCAATGAGATATCAGGTAACATTGCAAAACAGGCCTCTCTACAACAATAGCAGACTGAGTTATACACTCCATTTGTGTTGGTATATCTGACTCTAATCACTACACATGCTACAGTTAAAGTGGCAAAACTGATGTATGAACTATTCAATGAAGGCAAGAAAATGTTAGTCCTGCTGAACTGATAGGGGAGGACCAGGATGTAGATGGGGGTAGGGAGGAGATGCACATTACCTTGCCAGGACAACAAAAATGCTCACGCAATTTCTCTTTCCTGTGTTGAGCTGTTAAAGTTGAGTTGTCCAGCTTTGTTTGTTTGAATTTGTTATATAAACTGACAATGACGCTAAATGAGCTTTTTAGGTCGAGAACTGATCATCATCAACATGGAAACACAAGGACTTTTCTTCCCACTAACCAGTGCTCGATTTTCACCCGAAAGGACGCTTTTCCCGCGGATTTGACCTTCTTCGTTGCCGGAGCAGCTGTAGGAGTTTCTGCCACAGGTTCCTGTCCGGCGTCGGTGCCTCCCTTCGCAGCTGGGGCCTCTTCTTTACCAGCATCCGCAGCTCTTTTCTTTCCACGAGGAGCCATGTTTTCTTCTGCTCCTCACACGTGCAGCCCGTGCAGCAAAAACGCCCCTTGCAATTTGCTCACATATTGCAGACAGATTCTTGGGAATGCAGGTCATCTTATCTTGACTTTGGATCCAAATTTAGCTTATCTGACCAACCAAATCGATGCAGTCACAAGAAATGGTTACTGATAACTGCAAAATGTTACATAGGAGACTTTGTTTCGGTTTGACTAAAACCTACACTATTTAATACCAAAGCCTCGCTAAACGATTTATTACGCAAAACACCCCCTTCTTGTAGTGGCTCATTCCAAATATTGAACCCGGAAGTGGAGTGTGTTTGTTTGTTGTTGTGCAGCTGTGTAGTGTTGGATGATCAACGTCTAAAGTTCACCCATATAACAATAGCAAATGATCGCACTTTGGAATATATTACGAGTAGTTTGACAGTCCTACAAAAAGAAGACACGATGAGTGCGGAAGAGGAGCATATTTTGAAGGAGGTAAACTAACGCGTTGTTAAATATTTTTCGTCTTCCACTGACTCCAACACAGAAGTCAAACCTACAAAAACGTAACTAAGGAATTATAATACCGGTATGTTATGTTGCGCTTTACTGTTTTTGCCCTGTTACATGAAATTGGCCTTCAGAAAAGAACTTGCAATGAACTTCTTATTGAAGGTCCTGCGTTCCTTGAGTTGTGGTGCATTATTAACTGAAGGTCAAAGGAACCCCTAGATATTGGATGTTGCAGATCATACACTGATCGTATTTATCGATATCCAGCCGCCTCAAGGTACTTCTTTGGTACATGGTGTATTCAGTCCCCAATATATAGTAGGTCTGAAGCCCAGAGGGTGGAAGCCATACCCAGTGTTTGATAATTTACACCAATCTATAGCAAGCCCCATACAAGTTTAATACCAGATGTTCTCTGCATAACTGTTACACAGTTCCGTGAGAGACTTCAGGATGTTGCCCAGCCCCACATGGATAACCAGTACCTCAACAGGTGGCTGAAAGGTGAGGCTATTGTTAAGTTGATTCAGAAGTTCCTGAATGGACCCTAACAATTCTTGATCTTGTTCCTGTTTGTTCTTTATTGACAAAATATCACCAAACAACACATAATTTTGTTCCGTACCTCAGCTGAAGTTAGTGCCACTGTAACCTCGTCTACAGAATACTAGTATTACATGGGTTGTTTATTTCATTGAAGTAAGATTGAAGTAATTGAAATTACCAAATGTTTTGCTCACGTTTTTTTCTGTGTTTTCCTGAACAGCAAGAAGGTATAAGATTGACAAGGCTGAGCAGATGTACAGAGCAGTGAGTATACTTCAAGTTATTTTATGTTTGTTTTCCTTTTTTCCCTTCCTCCTTTGGTACAATGTTACCCTTATGATTCTCTGTTTCATTCCAGCATCTTACCTTTAGGAAAAGTATGGATGTTGACAACCTTAAAAAGAACTTCAAGGAGCCAGAGGTAACAGTCATCAACCTTTACCGCCAACTTTATTTGGCTTGTTTTTGCTTATTTTTGCTTGATTTTGCTTATTTTTGCTTTCTCTGTAGACCCGTTATTAAGTACATACTTCTCTCCTGTGTTAAAGGTTATTGAGAAGTTTTTCCCAGCGGGAGGTTTCTGTGGTGAGGACAGGGAGGGTAGCCTGGTGTTTTACCAGGTGTTCGGGCGTCTGGACGTCCACGGGATGATGAGATCTGTCAAGATCCTGGATGTCATCAAGTTCCAGATCTGTATGCTGGAGATGGTGGAGGACATGTTAACTGCACATTCAGCAAAGGTAGAACATTAGGAGCCATTTACCACAGAATATAAACTTAAAAGATTAAAAAGAATGCAAAGATTACAAGTTTCACAGTTCAGCTAGCCTGAGTACCAACATGGTTAGTAGATCCTTTCCAATAGTCACTACCCATGGTTGTTGTGTAGTGACCATTGGAGTGGACATAAAACTAAGCAGGATAGTACCCAGGCTACTGGTCAACTGTTGCTTCTCAAAATAGCTCTGGTATGGTACTGTATGGTAATCTTACATATTATTACATAGAAGTAGCCGTGTGGTTACAGGGTTTAACAAAAGAGAGAAGGTTAAGAGCACCTTTCATCACTAAGCACCGTTAACATTGGTACATTTGTGATTATCGTCTCTTACCCCTACTTTCTATTAGACTGGCAAACAGACATTTGGGATGACTGTGGTGTACGACTTGTACAACTTCGGCATGCAGCATCTTTGTAAGCCAGGTACATACATGTAACGTTACTAGCTTCATACAGTCAAAAAATACCAGTCTTCTACTTCGTGTATTTGCTACTTGTTTGCTAACCGTTTGTTTGCTAACCGTTTGAAATAACTACTAGTAATTAACAAAATTCATGAAAGTTGTTTTATTTTTTCAGTTGCGGAGGCATTTGTTCAGGTACATATTTATCTTTTTTGTTTCTTTATTTTTTTATTTCAAAATGTTCCAAATTCCATACATGTTTTTGACAAATATTTCCCTTTTTTATGTAAAGTTTCTGAAGATGTTTGAGGCCAACTATCCAGAAATACTGAAAAAGGTCATTGTGGTACAAGGTGTGTGATATAATGTTTTTTTTTCTGCCACAACATGATAACTACATACATGTCTTGTATATGTAATACAGTAAATCATGAGGATATTCAATGATAACTGGAAATTATTTTTTAATAATTTAGTTTTTCCAGTAAGTATTAAAAATACCAGTTGCAAAACTCAGTAAATACATCATATGCAAGCAAAGAGACAAACATTATATTGGGCATATTTATTTAGTTTTATCACAAAATGATACAGTAGTGAAACATTGCAAATATCGTTGATGATTCTTTTTTCCCCCACAATACAGCACCTTCTGTCTTCCCCATTGCCTACTCTGTTGTGAAACCCTTTCTGAGTGAAGACACCAGAAACAAGGTGTTTGTCTGTGGCAGTAAGTACTAACTACACAACATGTTACTGAACCTAGAGTGAAATTTCAGTAAGGACTAGTTAGTGTGAGTACAGTTTCAGTTCCAAGGACAGAGGCATGCTGGGTAGTGTAAATACAGTTTCAGTACCAAGGCAGGGGCATGCTGGTTAGTGGGAATACAGTTTCAGTACCAAGGACAGGACCATGCTGGGTAGTAAGAATACAGTTTCAGTACCAAGGACAGAGGCATGCTGGGTAGTGAGAATACAGTTTCAGTACCAAGGACAGAGGCATGCTGGTTAGTGGGAATACAGTTTCAGTACCAAGGACAGAGGCATGCTGGTTAGTGGGAATACAGTTTCAGTACCCAGGACAGGGGCATGCTGGTTAGTGAGAATACAGTTTCAGTAGCAGGGACAGGTTTACATTCTCACAAGTTTTTTAAGGTACTGCATTACTGTTGAAGGTCAAGAATTACTGAAAAAACATAAAGCCACAAGTTGAAAGGTTGATGGACTTGTTTTTGGTACAGGTAATTGGAAGGAGGTCCTGGCTGAACACATTGCACCTGACCAGATCCCTGTACACTATGGAGGCACCATGACTGACCCAGACGGGGATGTCATGTGTAAGTCAAAGGTACAGCCAATGGTTTGTCATTGTACATTCCTCATCCTGACTCTGTGTCCATCAAATGTGTTTCCAGCAGGAGAACTCAACGTCCTGCCTCTGATTTACATTAAATTCTCTTAGAGCAGTGGTGAATGGTATTCTGCAACTGACAGAACAAGTGCTAAGACAATCAACATGTCTTCCTGACCTAAAGTTATGATGATTAATGACTGTTCAACTGTATGATATTGAAATATTACATCCTAGTATGGGATACAATGTCTCCTATATTGCCTCCATATCTTTAGATCAGATATGGGGGTGTGGTTCCTGAGTCCCACTACTCACCGGGAATTCCTGCTGAGATCCTGGAACAGATGAAGTCAGCAGACGTGGAGCCTGGGACATCACTGGGGCTGGAGGTGGACGTGAGGACCCCTGGTGCCGTCCTCAGGTACTGCAGGACAAAGCTGCTCAGCTATATGCTATGAGTTAACAGTTTGTATAGTCATCAAAGCTATCAAGTTTATAAAACTGTTTGTCTTTGTCCCTCAGGTGTCCCAAATAGAAACTATATTCCTAAGTCTAAATACGTTGTGTCAGACATCATGGTTTGATGTCTGTCAGACACCTTCCTTAGAGCTTCTGACTAGAGTAATGCTTCTCGCCACTATATGTAGCTTATGTAGGGGGCGCTTTTGTGTCAAGAACACACTTATTTTTTTAGATCCTTAACTATCATGTCTGTTCTAGGTGGTTGTTTAAGACAGAAGATTGTGACATCGGGTTTGGAGTGTACAGGCAGCAGGGCAGTGGTACCAGATACCAGGACATGGAAGAAGTAGTGCCATGCTCCAAACACAACAGTCACCTCATACTGACCGACGGGGAACTCTTGTGTGCAGAAGCTGGCAAATGTAAAGTTTGTTTTTGTTTGTTTGTTTGTTTATTCAAGGAATGTATTAGAAGTGAAGGTGTAATGCTACTGTTTTATATTTCAAAATTGATGTAAATCACACTATATATTTACTACAGTATGTATGATCCACTCAGTAACTCTTCGGAGTGGATCATACATTTGATGAAGGTTGATGAGATCAACCAAAAATTTATTGCAAATTCCTTTCTTGTGTTGGAAGAATGTTTAAATTCTACAACTGTGGATTCTACCAATGCAGATGACCTTCCATTCGAATGTATTAACCATATACTACAGAACGTTGTTACACTGTGTATTGTATCTTGTTTCATTTTATGTCCCCACAGATGTTGTTCGATTCGACAATTCCTACAGCTGGGTTCGGAGTAAGACACTTCGCTACAGTGTGGAAGTGCTGGAACCTGGCGATGAATCTCTCACAGGGGTCAGAGGTGATGTGTCACAGTTCAGGGATGGGCAAGATTCCAGCCAAGAGTAAGGGTAACAAAGGTCAAACCTGGCCGGTAATGTGGAAATCTTCCAGCTTTGTAGAAAAATGTATGAAAAAGTACCATGTAGGAAACAAAGTTGAAATAGCTAATGTGACAATGTTATCTACAAAATTGTGCCTCAAAAGAAGTCATTTTAGCAGTGACCAAATAAGATTTCCAACATTTCACAGGGATAAACCTGTGGAAAGAAAGTCTTTAAATTCAGGGATGGAAAGCTTTGTGAGATTAGTTTTTTATCATTTTAATAAGTGAGAAACACTTGCCTCCTTGACTTGCCCTAAAGAATAAATAACAGAGGTGTTGCAGGTCTTGACTTAATTCAACTATACTCTAGAACTGTTATGTTTCAACTACTTCTAACTGTTGTTTATAATCTTATTATGATGGGACAAGAGTGTAATAATACTAACATTCATCTATCAGCTTTTTTGTTGCAAGTTTCAAATTTTGGTCCAAAGCCCTAGTTGTGGGAACATTGCTCAGGCAGAAAAGACCAGAATGCAAAAGCACATATTTGTAATAAATCTATTATATTTGATTTTCATTGTAAAAATCATTCTGAAATTGCAAAATGTACAAACATATTACATTAGCTTTGTCATTAAACATAAAACTACGTCTCAAAATATATCAAGAATGGCAAATAACATATCAGAAATAAATATCCACATGTATTTTGGTCTAAACTAAACTGCAAATTTCAATAATAAAATGGACCTTTGTTGTAAGGTCTTGATCAATAAACTGCATAATGTTACAGAAGTTCAGTGATTACAATGTCTCATCACACTTCTTGTTTACTGGTAAAAATCATAAATGCAACAGTTCTCAACAGACATACCTAAAATTATGCATAATCATACAGTTCTTAAAAAAATAGATAAGTAGTCAATACTACAATTTTCACATGAATTAAAACAAACGGTACTCAATTTTTTTTCATCTCAATTTCAGATTTTCACACACTTGATCACTCATTATCAAACATTACATCATTATCAGATCTTACTATCTGCCTTATCTCTTTATAACTTGAAGTTGTGAACACAACAAAACCTTAACAGTAATGCACCTGGGTGAAAAGCGTACCCATTCAGCTGATCGGTTTGTACCCTGAGTATGCCCAATGGAATTCCTAACCTACATATGACATGAAACTGCACATCTGCATTCTAGAATCACCATTATAATTCCCCCCCCCCCTCCAGTTTCAGGGTGAGAAATGTCGATGTTGTAAAATAGTTATAGTGTGACCTGAGAAGAAGAGAGTAAGGAAGCTAGTATATATGCATATGACAACTTAGTTATTGGTTGCCTGATTTATACAATGCACATTATAACTTAATAAGCTATTGCTGTACCTCCTATATATCCATGAGATTCCTAACATGGAAGGAGCAAAAGCTACTGATGCCTTCTATCTTACGAAAACAGTTTTGACCATGAGTGTCATGGATTGTAGCCAATCACGTTCTACAAATATTAACTTTCACACCGACTACTTGGTGCAGTAGCAAGGAAATTTTTAGCACGTCAAAGTCACTGAGATTGTGCTGTGTTTATCAAGCTGAACACTAAAAGCAACTGCTACAGTTTCCTGAAGAAAATCTGAAAGGTTTCCCTAACAGCCACAAAATTAATCAACAATTTATTCCTGATTGTCCTATTACAAACATCTAAAAATCATCTGGCAGAAGTTATGCTATGAAAAAGGATTAACAGTAATCTGTACAGCCGGTATAACCGTCTTTCGGGGTAACACATCAGCACCAGTAAGATAGCTACTAGAGACCCAATAAGACATAAGTCTTCACATACATGATCATTGTGCATTCCCAACTTGAAATGTGAGTTTACTATAGATGGATTACTAAGAAATTATATCTTTTATTCCAAATTTTACACTTCTCTTTCAGATATAAATTTTGACCACATACATTCACAATTTTTTTTTACCAACGAGTGTATAATTGCATAGAAAGCTGATGATCTCTTTATATCAAAATCAAAGAATAGAACTTTTCTACTCAGAGAACCAGTCTTTGTGTTTTGGCTTCTTTTGCAAAAAGTCGCTTCTCAGGAGGCGGAAAAACAGGAAGACGTTGATGATGGTCATGATAGCGAGGCCAACGCTTCCGAGCGTGAAGGGAATGATGGGAACTGCGTCTCGATTGATGACGATCCACCTCGTCATCCACGCTAGCGTACAGATCCGGAACAAGATGTACATCCCGATGTTGATCATGCTGTTTGTACGGTATATAACGTTCCGTTTGCTGACGCCGCCCATGTGTAAGAGTTGTCGAATGTGTAGGAACGCACTGCTGAGTTCTATAGTCAGGGCCACCAGAGCAAACCCAGTGTACAGCTTGGTGACGACAGCACAACCAAAGCATGATATGACCTGAAGGGAAGAAAAACAATTTGGAAATAAGTATGTCATAACGGTAGTAATGACTATTTGTCATCAAATCAGCTGTAAATGCAAAGAGGACAGGTTTTATGTTATATTGTATCTAGTCTTCATTCTAATTTGGAAAAAGGATGATATTTTAGCAAACCTAAATAAAACTCTTATCATTTATGACAAGCATTAGAAGTAAATACCTCCCTAATGCTCTCTATTTTTTATTTATTTATTTATTTTTTTAACAATCTTTTTTAAGGGACTGCGGCTGCGCTGTAATTTGTTTTCTAATTTAGAGGTAAGATAGCACAGTTGGGCTTTAGTCTGCTCCATTTGTTGCTACCCTATTGTACTGAATTCTAATGATATGCAAATGCCGAACACTTGGAGTGAAACTGGGGCCAAACTTGTTGGCAGGAACAAACAGTTGGAGTGGACTATGCAGTTGTGTTGTATGCTTGGTCTGAGGATAAAGCCTGTATTGCATTGTTACAATGTCAATGAATAACCCGGCCTCCTCCTGCTAAAAGGTCACAACCCCAGAAAAAAGTCCACACAAAGGGCATTCTCACCAGGTGACCTAGATTTTATATGGTCTTCAAACAGTGCTTCAGCTGGCCACTACTTCTCCTTTTGAATAAATCATCTCTAGATCTAATGTTACTGTAACACACGAAAGTTAACGTTGTACTGATACATGATATTTTTACATGCAGATGTTTCCTTTCAACTCTCTATTTCAAACAGTGTAACATCTGCTGACAGATCAAATTCTGCTGGGTACCCTTACACCACCACATTTTTTTTAAAAATGCAAATTCAATGGGTACCTAATATCAAGGCCTTCTCAAGAATGTTTTGAACACCTGGATATCTGAAGTGTGCATAGCTTGGGGGATTACTGATGCCACATGAAAAAGGATTGATAGAGGGTCTCTCCCATCCCATCTGGTATTAGCCTCACAGATATAAAATAAGAGATAAAGACTGACTCATATCCTGAGTGTCAAAACGTAATTTAGCTTGACAAGACAGGGCTACTTTACTTTAAAAGGGGTGTGGTCCCTGTTCTGGCATGCATATACTGTTGTTGCGTTGGGTTGGGTTAGCGTGGGTGCCATACTGGTTAGTTTATGCTGACTCTAAGCTAACTATGATGGCAACAAGGCTTGGGTTGGGTAGTTACATCAGATACAAAGTTTTGCAACAACTATTAGCAACAACTATTAGTAAGCAGAAGTTAGCACTTCTGTGTTTGTCACTTTAGCCGACCGTTGGGGTTTACAGAGGATACAACAGCGAGAAACACTTCTTTAGTCAGAAAGAAAAACAACGTCAATGGAAGGAATACTGCAAACAACATGCCAATTACATGACACAGACACCTTATTAGGTCCTCTGACCCATAGCTCAGCTACCACCTTGGAGTACTAAATCCCTTCACTCAGACTTGGACAGTAGCCAATCAGACACACCCTCTTATTCTACTGGTGCCAACAGCCAATCAGACACACCCTTTTTTTACTGGTGCCAACGTGCCGGGCAACTTTCCAACGCCCTCTTACATGTTCACTCTCACGTCCACAAACAACCTCTCCCATTTCATCGCCTGCATTCCTTCTCCATACATAAAGTAAAAGCCTTCTAACAGAAAAAAAAAACAAAAGAGGGGAAATACATACTGTAATACAAAAGAGTGCTTTAAGACATTTATCTATTGTTACATTCCTGTATAGTTTTTTTAAATCCATTTTCAGCAACATTACATGGCATTGATTAGTTCTGCTGGGGGTAGGCATTCCCACTTTTGCATGCATCTGGATTGTCAAAGGATCATGTTATACAAGGAGTAAAGCCTTGACCTTAGTGTCAGGGTCAAGGTGTATTTGTTTGTTTTGTCATAGGGTGGGTCACTATTTGCTGTGTTACTGTCTACATTCTTCACTGTTTTGCCAACATCTGTGCAGCATACTACAAGATTCTTGAGCCCAGGCAGAGCAGCTATCAACAAAGATGACATTATCAACTTGTCAACAATCTAGCTGTGTCATAATTCTCTCTTTCTTGTCCCTTCCAGTTTGTGTTAAGTTACTTAACAAGCCAATAGTGATATCTTAACACACAGTAACCAGACTTCATTATGCCTTTGTGCTAGTTTGCTTGGCTTAACCTCAAGCCCTCAGAGAAGCTTTAAAAAGTCAGCAAGTGCAGTTTTCTGTCGAACTGTAGAGTTGGTAAAGTGGTTTGCAAACTGGGTTAACTAATGAAAACATGTACTAGGTCTACTGAATCCTACCTACCAGGATAAATATAGCAGCTCAAGTAATAATACATGGTGCACTTCATGGGCAATAATGAAAAGAAAAAACAACATTTTTTTTGCCTTTATCACGTTGCACACGAGGCACATTAATGTCTAATAATGACACCATCCATTTTAAAGTATGCCAAAGTTACTTCCTGTCTTTCAAATAACAGTGACTTGCACAACACCACAGAATATACTATACAGTAGTAATACCATTATTCTTAACTTTGGTTGTACTTTGGTTGTAAAATGAACTTACCGTGATGTGATGAAGAACAAGCTCCCAGTGAGACATTGCCTTCTTGCTTACAAACAAATCTAGGACATCGTACATAAAATAACCTGGAAAAAATATAACAAGCAATTACTTGACACCATTTCATTACTGCAGATACTCTTATGTTACCTGAGGTGAAAATCGACAAACATTGAAAATTACTGATCAACAATGAAAGGCTATTTTAAGCAAAAGAATGCCTTTATAATACATGTATAATATCAATGTAATAATATACAAACCTACCTGTAGACAATGACACCAGTAGATGTGAGGGCATAGTAACAGGTGTGATCAAGTCTTTGGTCATGTCTGGTGCAAGGTAAAAACTGGGGAGAAAAGTAGGGAAAAAGTATTAGAAAATTATACGGGCAAAGCAAAACAAGATATCAAATTGGTCTGGCCCGGGGACAATGAGCTAAATTATGTTATAATTGCGAGAGGACTGTTACCTGGGTGCTGGGAGGAATCTTGATGAGCTCTTTCATTGATGTTATCGATACAGATACAATCTTTGAATACTACTCTGTCCTCTGCGTAAGTTGAATCTTGATAAAATCGTACACGCGTTGTTTATCTAGCTACTAATCTGTTTAACGCATTAATTCTCTAAGCTGCTTCATCAACCGATGGGTGGTAATCATAAATTATGTCTACAATGAGAAGTGTCGTTTCGTTGCCTAAAGCAAAAAATGTTTTAATATGAACAGGAATTTCTTATGGCAATCGCCCAGAATATTTGTCTTCTTATGCGTTACAAAGCTCAAACTGGACAATAGACGAATTTAATAACTGACTGGCGACCTCATTAAAAGGACACCTCATAACAAAGCGCCAAGACGGGGTGTTCCTTACTGTGTTACGGTCCATTTCGTTTGCGATCGCAACACTTTCTGGGTGACAGAACGATACAGTTCCCAACAATTAAAAACATATGTCTTCCATGTAGTTTTCCAGAAGCGAAAACATCTTCAGTGATTTTCAACAGGAGATAACGTTTCTTTACACACCATAATCCATGGCAGTAACGCTAAGAACAACGGGACAGGCACAACAAGACGGCGAGATCTTCCCTCTAACTTTAGTCTAAAAACCGCCTGGACATCGCACTTCCTTATTTGAAGACGATCTGAAGCCCTGCTGCGGAAGACATTCTCAAGAGGTACCGAGGCGTGGGCCGGGTTTGTTTACTCACCACAGTAGAGCGCCAAGACCCGTCAGCGAGCTGTGGACGAGCGACACGAAAGTGTTGGTCCACTTCCACGGGTTCCGCACACTTCTCGGCATGGGAAGCCTCAAAAACGTCCTACTGATCATGCCGAACACTACCATGGACGTGACGGCTACAGAAGGCCCCACGATCCCGCTTTCCACGCTCATAATGCCAGAGTTTTCTCGGAGGTAAACAACTCGTCTTGAAGGAAATCCTCCTCTACTCACGCTGCCCACGCTCCAGTCCGCGCCCAAAGCAGATTTGATTCTGGTCACATGGTCAGAGATTGGTTGAGTAACAGGACGGGTCAAAGTTCAACAGGGCCCGTGTTATGCAACATAGCCTGGACAGCAGTCTTCTCGGAGGGTCTTCGGTTACGCCGCAGGGTAGAGTCATGGAGGTATACAAGGACCTCCGTGGTAATATTCACAAATATTATGTTTGATATATGTATAAAACTGTAGTATCAAAGCTATCTGTATGAAATCATAGAATTAAAGCTAGTCGCCAAGGCATTCTTACAAAGGGCTGGTTCGTGTTTAAGGAATCATTGCATAACGGAGCAAGGTGTGTTTGTATCATGATTATGCAAGCAAAAGGGTTCAATAGGATTGCGCCGTATTTGGGTCATGAGAATAATCTCCTTATCGGGCTTGTGCTGTATTGAAGGATCGGTTGTGTAACAGCATAAAGATGTTTATATTAGTTGCGTAAGGTATTGTTATGCGTCGTAGTCGTCGAGGAAGGATGCAAAGTACAACAGCTACCGTGCACACTGGAAGTACGCACCGCGGCCGTGCTTAATTAAAGTCTTCGCTCCGTCGCACACTTACCAGATAATGGTGGCATTCATTCAATACTATATGGTATGTGGTATTATGTGTATATGTCACACTACACGTATCTTGATTTAATTTTTGGTTCCCATTGGCTATTGAAAAAGAATTTGTAGTGAACTTTTCATAGTCGAAGCACCAACACGCCAGAGAATGGCCTTGGAGTTGTGTAAGAGGGGGGCGGGGCATCGTCACATTGCATATTCGACGGATAGCATTACTTTTATTATAGTACGTGGGTTTACTTAATGTATTGACATAAATCTGAAATAACTTATGGTGAACTTTATAATTGAAGTAAAGTTCAAGCCTAGATTGCCATGAGGAGTTGCTAACATGTTCTAAGGTTGTTTATGGGGTTGTTTGTCAATCTGGGGACAATTAATTAAGGTTACGGTATTTCAAGTTCCCAGTCCTAGTGTTATGGCTTAGGCCATGTTGATTTGATTATATGGATGACATCCTCTGGGAACCCCAAAACTGATGCGCGCGTGCGAAAAAAAAAAAGTTTTGCAAAAAAAAAAAAGTTGCTTTCACTATGAAATCTACGTGGTCATGAAGGTTGAACAAATGGCACAGAATATGTCATGGCGAATAATCTACTCTTCGAATTCATTTCTTTACATTTTTGTCTTTTTTCCTTTGATTTTGGCATTCTACGACATTGGTATCGTTTCTAAATGTTTTCCTTGCAACTTATGGTATATTTTTGCTCATTTAGCAACTGTTTTGCACAATTTACAGTATGGTTGAAAACTTTTTTTTGGAAACGGCCGAAAATTCATGCGCGCGAGGATGTCATCCATATAATCAAATCAACATGGCCTTANACCCTTGGGTCGCGCATGGACCCTCTCTGGCCAAATTGGATACTGCCTGGCCAATTTGATACTCTGCATTATTATCTGAGATTATTTAAAAGCAATATATTACGGGCCCGTATACCTCACTAGATTGTACCACTACATCAAAGATTTCAAGGTTCCCAGTCCTAGTGTTATGGCTTAGGCCATGTTGATTTGATTATATGGATGACATCCTCTGGGAACCCCAAAACTGATGCGCGCGTGACGAAAAAAAAAAAGTTTTGCAAAAAAAAAAAAAGTTGCTTTCACTATGAAATCTACGTGGTCATGAAGGTTGAACAAATGGCACAGAATATGTCATGGCGAATAATCTACTCTTCGAATTCATTTCTTTACATTTTTGTCTTTTTTTCCTTTGATTTTGGCATTCTACGACATTGGTATCGTTTCTAAATGTTTTCCTTGCAACTTATGGTATATTTTTGCTCAATTAGCAACTGTTTTGCACGATTTACAGTATGGTTGAAAACTTTTTTTTTGTTTTGAAATGGCCGAAAATTCATGCGCGCACGGATGTCATCCATATAATCAAATCAACATGGCCTTAGTGGTTGAAAAATTGTTTTGCTTGGCAAGCAATTACAGTATGCCATTGATTGGACGTCGTGTACTTGTACCAGGGACAGGCATGGCTTTGTGTTAGGTGTTCAGTACCAGGGACAGGCATGCCTGTATGTTTGATGATCAGTGCCTGGGACAGGCATGGCTTTGTGTTAGGTGTTCAGTACCAAGGACAGGGATGGTGTGTTAGGTTTTCAGCACCAGGGCAGGGACATGCATAGTTGTTTGTTGCATGTTCAGCACTAAGGACAGGCATGCTTTTGTGTTAAAGAATGAGGATATAATGTCTACCTGTACAATACTTTTTTGCAGATAACATTTTCCTGCTCTAAGTTTTGCATGTTTCCTGCCATACCTACCAAGTTGGAATCATCAGTGGATCACACCTCACTATCTCATCAAGCCCATCTTAGGCACTGCAGCAAAGTTGGTACAGATTCTTACAGAAAGGTTTAGCAAAACACCAGACAAATGAGGATGAAATTATATATTTTTGTTTACTAGTATGTTCAACATATATGTATACATCAACATTAACATTGTCAAAATATTGTCTATAGGGACCACATTTCTACAAAATACTATGATATGTGTACAAAGTAGTAAGATTTGCATGTTACAAAACCACCGAAGTGAGGTGGAAGATTAAACATTTTCTATTGCTTAATTTTTAACCAAATGGAATGACCATTCTGTGCTTGTGAAAGAAACAACTTGAACACCACATCTTTGCATTTTTCAAAAATATCCACAGCATGAAACTGTTTTGATTGTAGAATATTTGTAGTGGTCCAAACAAGTTGAAATATATAAATTATGCATGTCCACGACATAAGCTTCTTTTCAGACATGTCTAACATATCAAATCACAAATTGCACTTGCATCACTTCAGAAGAGATGCTCTATAAGCTAAACTATGGATTTAACGGAAAATTAAATCATGAAGTAAATTAAGTCTTCATATTCCAGACTTGATTAATACAATTTTCAAACTGAATTAAATACATTATATAAGTCATAACATGACAACAGGTGTATCATATGAAATATGTTTGAAATAAGCAAATCATAACAGACGTACATGTAAAATCAACATTTCTAATAACTGATTATTAGCTCATTGAACACCAGTACTAATTTGTGCAACATTATGTGCATAGGCGGAATATGTATGTACAAATTGCAGAGTGACATTGGATCTTTGTGTGTCCTAGTGTTTTCCCTTCTTCTTTTCGTAGGATTTCGACTGTTTTAGATCCTTTGCACCCGACAAGTCATATGTAAATGTCTTCTTCTGTCCGGCTGCTTTTTCTTTTTTAATAACCTTGAAAAGAAAAGAAAAAAATGAGTTAATAAAAATATGATCAGAACAAAATGAAAATATTATGGCTGACACATATAAAATAAACTTACAGGACCATATTCACCGACAGTACTAATTGTATACTCTCCAAGCAGATGTTGCATTGGGAGATGGTTACCACCTAATTTGCCATTTTCTAACAGCCATCCATTCAACAGAGGACTTGTGGTCAGGACCTGGGAGCCTAAAACCATCAAGATTTTGTCCCTGAAGATCTGCTTGGAGGTTTGAGTTCTTGTGTAAGTCGTGTACTCACCCCTTTCATGACCCTGTTCTTCAGTTCACTCTGTGTGAGCGGTCTCTGGTCTTCATCACTTGGCTGGGCAGAATCATCACTGTCATAATCATCACTGTAAAACACCAGTTTGTCTGAGTTAATAGATGTTTCCATGGATGATTTTTACATCCTTTGGAAAGTACATGTCAGAAAATGGGATTCTACCAAAGACACTGACATACATGTACGTACCAGAAGAGAATGTTTCACCATAAGGGAAGATTGACCACATATACTTACCCAGTAGTGGGAGGTTCTATTTGTAGAGGAGGTGGTGGTTTGGTTGGTCCCTCCCCGAGCAGACTGTTGAGTTTCGGGTCATATGGTCTCTCATAGTCCTAAAAAAAGTAATGGAATAAATGACAATTAAACAATAACACACACTCACTGACAATAACAGTCTAATAAAAGTTATTATAATAAATTTTTGGGGATCTGACACTAAATCTTTCAAATCAAGTCACCTACATTTAATACGGCTTTAATTTTTTTTACCATTGCATTACAGATCAACTTCATTGTTTTTTGAAATTATCACTCCAACATTGATTCCTACTTCACTGACCTTTGACATGAGGTATGCTTGAGATGCCAACAGTTCATTGGTCCTCTCCTCGATGACCCCCAGGTATTGCATCATGTTGTCGTTCCTGACACCCTCCGTCCCCCCAAGCATGTCCTGCAGAGCTGTCCGGTCACAGCTCAGCTTGTCGAAGAGCGAGTTTATCCCTGTTCACAATGAAGAAAGGGAGGGAGTAAAAACATTGATATTTTCTGTGTTCTTCCTACTCTGGTTTGCTCGTTGCTTTGAGAAAAGTTACAGGTTCAGACAATTTCCTTTAAGAAATATTTCATGAATAACCTGGAAAACAATTTTCATGAAATTATCATTCTGAAGATAGGATAAATATCATTTACACCATTTGTCCATAGCACTTGTGCAAAAGAATTTTCTTGCTATGGTGTTTTCCAGGGCCAGAAAGTTTACCATTCAGATTGTCAAACCAAAGTCGCATACGTCGGTGAAGATTAGACATCCAGGTAATAAGATAATTTTACCCCAAAAAACAGTTACTCAAGCAACTGGATGTGATTTTGGAATTTTTTTTTCCAAAATCATATCCATTTGCTTGAGTATAAACTGTTTTATGGCAAAGTTGCATCTTTACAGCATATGGTGCCTACCTGCTTTCAGCTGGTCCAGGATCTTGTTTATAGCTTTGCTCCTCTCGTCGTGCTCGTTGGCGGTCTTGCCCGCCGTCTCCGACTGCTCCTCCAGGTCCTTCAGGATGAGCTGCCGCTGCTGCTCGATG